ATTTTATACATTTCTTGTGAAAGAAACATTTCTTATTCAACGGCGATTAAAATTATTTATATTAATGATGTCTCCAAAGTTCAACGAAGTTTTCGCAGAAAAATAATTTTATTAGAAATCTGCCGCTGTTTGCTGAGCTGTTCCGCGACGAAAACAAGCTTGAGCAATGGCGATGTCGAATGGTGCACACTCGGTAAGTAATCCTACAATTTTTTGTTTATAGCGTAGTTTATACGGATTATTTCCAAAAAATTATACGTACATAGCGACACAAACGTCTATTTTTATACATATTAGTATAAAAATGGACGTTTGTGTCCCTATATTTCACTTTTCAGCCAAAACTATACATCGCACATGAATGGTGTTCGTATGTGGCAGTAGCCCCAAGTCTCCTTTCGTGCACTGTGGTGGTTGCGTCTCGATAGCTATAATGGTGCGGTAGATATGGGCTTGAAAGTGATTTAAAGTAGAAGATTTTCTATTTCGATTTAAAAAATTTTAGAATTCGAATTTAAATTCGAATTTGTTCGATTATAGAACGATTGTAAACGTTCCAGAAAATTAATCAAATTGAAAATAGTTCGTTTGACTGGACGTGAAAATTCTCTAATTAGTCTAGAAACGGGGGACGTAATTCTTGCATTCTGTGAAAACGGGTATAATTGGCTATAATGTAATTATCTTAACCCACGGTTAGGCGCGCCAATTATTTCCGCACGGTTAGGCGCGCGGGGAACTATAGAACCCTTGATTCAAAATTCAATTTTTCAAAACTCATAGTTTTTTTCGCGATTTTTTCATTTCGGATGTTTGTGGGCATGTGTTTTTGATGTATTATTGAAGAAAACTACTTCAAATATATCGTTTTTATTTATTCGTAACGAAAAACAGAAAGTCTCCCGTTTTTAGAAATTTTTCAAAAAACATTGATCAAATTCAAGAGTGTATTTTACAAACTGTAAACAAGTCTGATGCTATCTAAGCTGTCAATCGTCTTCCTGCGTGTGTTTTCTAACTATTACAAAAATTAAATTCTTTGTATCAAACCCCGGGCCAAAAATATCTTAAAATTTCCAAAAATACACCATCTAAAATCATACCGCAAGTAGAGGTAAAAATGGAGATTATTGGCAGATAACATCGATAGTAAATTCTTTTGCACTGTAATTGGTTAATTTATATGTCTGTTATTAGATCGACCTATAAAAACAATTGCTGGAAATATTCCTGCGAAATGCCACGCCCCCGAAGGCCACCACATGGAAGTATGTAAACAATCGCTATAAAATCGCGTGTTTTAATTTTTTTTTCCAATTCTAATTTGCTAATAATAAGTCGCTTGACATTATTTAGACGAATAAACATGTTTTCAACATCATTTAGCAATAAATATCGCCAAAATACGCCACCTTTCAAACTGTCAATGTTAAGTCTATGGGAAAATTTTTTGCCGTTTATTGGCTTTAAAAATCCTGTTTTTACGCCTTTTATGCTCTAATTGGTCATTTCTATCATGACTGACTCTATATCAACCAATAAGCTTTCCCTCAAAACACGAAGTCAGATCGACCCANACGCCACCTTTCAAACTGTCAATGTTAAGTCTATGGGAAAATTTTTTGCCGTTTATTGGCTTTAAAAATCCTGTTTTTACGCCTTTTATGCTCTAATTGGTCATTTCTATTATGACTGACTCTATATCAACCAATAAGCTTTCCCTCAAAACACGAAGTCAGATCGGCCCACCTCCGTTAGTCGCGCGAAAAAAATTACACCGTTAGCCGCGCGGGGGACTATAGTACCCCACTGATTTTCATTGTAAGTCTATGGAAAAAATTTTTTTCGTGCAAATTTGAGATTTTTTCGGTGCGATCTTCACACCATGGAAGGAAGGTACTGAGAGCATCATTTTTAAGCACAAAAAATTTTAAAAAAATACACGCGTTTAAACACCCCGGGGGTTTTATATCACCCCGCGCGCCTAACCACGAATTAATTTTCACTATCGTTACTTTTTGCCCACAAATAAAAACCCAGCGAAGGGGGTACTTGCAGCTAGTCTATTATAAAAACACAAAAACACTTCTTATATTCTTTTGAAGAAAAACTCAGTCCAAAATAATCAATGTAGTGAGTATGGTACAGATCAGTCTGACCTGAATATACTATGAACAATTATATGGCTGAGAGTGAAACACTTAAACACCTGGCTCGACGTAGATTATAAAAATATTGTTATATCGAAAATTAAGTACTAAAGGGTAAAAAATAGCTAAATTCCAGATGAAGCAGTGTAGATTTATATTACTTATCTAATTGCATGAATGTCAAATCAATGGGATATCAAAACAAACTAAATATAGATGAAAAAAATAGATTCTAATGTGACAATCCAACCGAACACGTAATACAGACTTCGATGTGTTTACTTAAAGTAAAATGGAGGTCGATAGTACCCGTTGTTGCCATCAAGAGCGCTGTATCGAAGGTAACAGCCACTCTATGTAGTATATTCTAGCTAGTAGTGTTTTACCAACGGGCGAGCTTCTTCACATTTCTACCCTTTACATCCAGTTTTACATAGACTTTCCTTCAGAGAAGCATCGTTCGTTTAAAGTGTGCCCAATATTAACATTGTATTTCTGATTTGCATTTTAATTGTATTTAAAGCATTNCAGCACGTGATACAGACTTCGATGTTTTGACTTAAAGTAAAATGGCGGTCGATAGTAGCCATCGTTGCTACCAAGTGCGCTGTATCGAAGGTAACAGCCACTCTATGTAGTATATTTTAGCTCGTCGTGTTTTAACAAAGGGCTATATAAAGCTATATTTAGCCATATAAATTCCATAGGGCTATATTTAGCCATATAAAGCTTCATCATATTTCTACCCTTTAGATCCAGTTTTACATAGACTTTCCTTCAGAGAAGCATCGTTCCTTTACAGTGCGTCCAATATTAACATTGTATTTCTGATTTGCATTTTAACTATATTTAAAGCATTTAATTTTAAACTAATTTTAATATAAATATTTAAAATTAACTTAAACTACACTTTGCGCTAAGAGCGGAGAGCTCTGTTGAATGTAATTTAGAACTCTCTTTGGAAAACTCCTTCGATTTTCCAGACTAAACAATGTTGAAAGAATTGAACTTCTTTTCTTAAGTTATTGAAAAAACATGTATCAACGCTTTACTCGCAACGTTGATATATAGGCCCATAGTTAGCACAGACAATGAGAAGGATGAGCCAAAAAACAGTCGACATTTAAAGATGTATTGGATTACAAAACGAAATACAAATCCAGCAACGAACTGCGTAACTTTTCCGGCGAGATTTCAAATTTGTGTGTGGCGCCATCTGTTATGTTATTTTATTTTTAATTTTTTTGGTACTAATTATTATTAAATAGCAAAGAGCTTCATTTTGACGGTAAAGATGAGTTTTATAAGATAATAGAAATGCTAATAACAAGTGAAAAACGTCAACAATTCTGACTATACTCGAAATATGAGACACGAGTTTCCTTTGTCTCCGTACCCCTTAACTTTTAACTCCAAAAATATATCATCAATCCCTAATACACAAACTTTCTCCCTTCAAATTTTCAAAAATTTTCGACAGAAGAAACAAGTGTTATAAACATTTTATATGGGTAAACAAAATCTTGTGCGCCCAAACACACTAACACTAACAAATACAGAAAAAACCTTCAACTATTTTCTGACGTTTCAAGATCCTCCGAGTCTAAAAATATAAAATATCTTGAAGACGGGAGTAATTTTTTGGCTAATGTTCATTTTTTCTGTTTGTTATATATAACATCCCGAAAAGAAAACATTAGAAAAATTCGTTTAATCTAATCTAACATTTTATATCAATTCTAAGTTTACACCGCAATATATTTATACTCAACATAGTAAAATACAATGAATCTTGAATATATTTAATTTTCTTCTAATTTTAATTAATATTTCTACTTACTTATAACCTTTTTGAATGCTTGAAGTGCTTTATCATCCCAAGGAAATTCCTCTTCTTTTTCTTTCGGAAATATTGAATCTTTAATCTCCATTGCGCTTATAAAATTCTGTAAAAATTATATAATTTCAATTGAAAAAGTTCGAACGTTTATGATTAATATTTAAAATGTTTTACGAGAACAAAAATATACTCTATCTTCATTCTTAAAGTTTAGTCAGATTAGAAAAAAACTTGCATTTTTATTGCAAGTATCAAACTGGTTTTCTTATTATAAACGCATTTTCTAAATTAAATGAACTCAATATTACAATTTTCTTATTAATTATCTACGGAAATTTAATCGTTTCAATGTCACAATTACTTGTTTACCAAAATTCTTAAAATTAGCTTTGCATAAATAATTATAATCGGCTCTATTAAGGATTTAATAAGATTCAATTCAATAATCTATCGTTTTTAGCCTTTAATGTTGTTTTATTTTTCATAGTCTATATCAAAACAGAGAGGAAAACCGGATTGAAACAGGGAAACTCTCTGTCTCCTCTTCTCTTACATCGCTCTAGAAAATGTTGTCAGAATGGTTCTGGAGATACACAATAAGAAGGAAAATGAGTGAAGAGACAAACCGCCACTACTAGAGTATGCGGATGAGTTTTTTGTAATTGGATAATCTCAAGGAAAGGTGACGACGTTACCGTCAAAATTAGCAACACCTGGCAAGAGCATGGGTTGATCATGAATGAAGGGTAGACTGAATGTATGGTTATTTCTAAAGAGAAAGAATTTTACAAAGAACATCTAACCGTAGACAATATGCATTTAGCATTACGGAATTCTTCTAGTAAAGGAACCCGGGGCTTCCGGAATGGAAAAGACAATTTATATATGAAAGAGAGGTGAGGTAATTGGTTTGCTCCCTGTCCTACACTCAGACTGTGACAACAATGTCAGTGTGATTAGTTGATTACCGAGATTCGCTTTGTCGTTGACCAATAAACCTTGTGTCGTGATTTTTTGGTGAAATTACAAGTGTATCAACTTTAAAACAATGAAAGTATAGGATATATTTTACAATTTAAACAAATTTATATAGTCTAGTTTATTAAAGATTTATTCGTTTAAATTTGAGAATGAAATAACGCATAAAGTAAGCATAAACTTTTTTCTCTACTTGATTTTTAGTAGCACGTGTTTTAAGGCACGATGGGTGGAGCACAATGGGACGGTTTCTCGTAAAAGAAAAATAAAAGGAAAAGGTAAAGGAGAAAAAATAAAGTCTAGTAAATAAGAAGGAAAAGGAAACGATTACTCGGAAGGAGATGACACGACTTGACTATTATATTGCACCGAGACTTACAGTCGATTGAAGATTCGTGTTCATGTGTCGCATGCAAAAAATGAGCTCATATGTCTTGTACGGGTTTTGACAGCGACGATGACGATTCCGTGCTGGTTTGCGAGTTTTGTAAGCAACAAGTCTAATATTTTTTTTCTAATATCTGACCACTAATCTCATACTCCATTCTTTTCCGAGTGCGGGGCGAAACGGGATGTGTGCAAGGTGTTTTTTAGTAATTTATTTTTCATACAAATTTATTGATTATTTCTTATCTAATTTAAATAATAATGTGCCAAATATAATAAATAAAGGATATAATGTAATAATTTTGTTATTTTTGATTTATTATATACATAATTTTAACTTCTTCGTTAGCTACCCCATTCAGCCTCGGTTTCTTTACTTAGGAAGTGACATGAACAGAAACAATCACATCAAGGAGATAAAAACTCGTTAGCTAAAGGAAAACAAAATCTACTGCGGGCTCACAAATATACTAAAAAAGCAGACTCCTTAGCAAAAAGACAGAGCTAACTGTATATCAGTCGTTGATAGACCTGCGATTCTATATGGATAAATCAGGAAAAACTAAAACTACTAAAATTTGAAAAAAAATACTAAGAAAAATCTTCCAACATGTAAAAGACAATAATGATAACGGTATCAGAAGAATATGGAGGTGAAGAACAAACCAGAAACTGCAGACAACCTACGACAAGACCACGATCACACAGGTGATTAAGGCCAAAAGATTAGTAACTAAGTCATGTCGCAAGACTTCCTATAATAATACAGCTTCACGAGGGCTCAACTATGAGAGGAAAGGAAAAAGGCCAAGAGGCCAAGAGGCCGTCCCAGAAAAAGGGGTAACTGAAGATCTTCGAGACTTCGGAATCGAAGATTGGCAAAGGCAGGCTATACACCGAACGAGAGGGAGAAGGATTGTGACTGTAACTAAGGGCTTTCAAGGCCCATAATGCCAAACGATAAAAAAAATAAAGTCTATATCAATTAAATAAATATAGTTGAGGGCTTATCATAGCGGTGAACGAAAAATAATTTACTAAATCTTTAATAATTCTCTACAGTATGGCTGTTTTGACAATATATTATATAAAGCATTTAAAATGTATTTCGGACCGATACATCCCTCTTCAGTTAATGTTCATAAAATTATACAAATAAAAAAATAAAAAACATAAATTTATACAAAATATAAAAAATTAAAGCGTAACATTATGTAAATAATAAAAATATACATTAAACAGCCGTGTTAAAAATGGCGTGTTCACAATTATTTTTGGTGATGTCTAACAATTGTAAGCATTCAAGAACATCATTATTTTCTTCTCTTAGACACTGAAAACAAAAGGCATTTTACTTGAACTGGCTGAACAAACAGACATCGATAAGCACCAACACAGCTCAGGAAGCTGTGTTGGTGCTTATCGATTCTGTTCGTATTCTTGAATTCCAACAGAATCATATTTTTGAAAATCTTTATATTCGATTTAGTGCTAATTTTACAGGCCAATAAATTTCGCTATATCGAACTTTAATTTTATTTAAAGGTATTTTCGAATTTTTTTAAAATTTAATTTCCTTCTTACTTCGTTGGATGTAAGATTTCTTATCCTATTTTTTTACTCACAACAGCAATTATTTTACTTATTATTTTACAATTTCTGTAAAAATATATTATTAATATATAAGTAACTTAAATATATTATTGTAAAATAACGTTTAATTTATAATAATGTCAGTGATAATTAAATTTTAAATATTTTCAAAATTTCAAATAGAAATTTGAAACTTTTAATACTTAAATTTTTTTAATATTTNATAGTGAATTCATAATATAATAATTTTGTTATTGTTCATTTATTATTGACATAATTTTAACTTCTTCGTTAGCTACCCCATTCAGCCTCGGTTTGTTTACTTAGGAAGTGACATGAACAGAAACAATCACATCAAGGAGATAAAAACTCGTTAGCTAAAGGAAAACAAAATCTACTGCGGGCTCACAAATATACTAAAAAAGCAGACTCCTTAGCAAAAAGACAGAGCTAAATGTATATCAGTCGTTGATAGACCTGCGATTCTGTATGGATAAATCAGGAAAAACTAAAACTACTAAAATTTGAAAAAAATACTAAGGAAAATCTTCCAACATGTAAAAGACAATAATGATAACGGTATCAGAAGAATATGGAGGTGAAGAACAAACCAGAAACTGCAGACAACCTACGACAAGACCACGATCACACAGGTGATTAAGGCCAAAAGATTAGTAACTAAGTCATGTCGCAAGACTTCCTATAATAATACAGCTTCACGAGGGCTCAACTATGAGAGGAAAGGAAAAAGGCCAAGAGGCCGTCCCAGAAAAAGGGGTAACTGAAGATCTTCGAGACTTCGGAATCGAAGATTGGCAAAGGCAGGCTATACACCGAACGAGAGGGAGAAGGATTGTGACTGTAACTAAGGGCTTTCAAGGCCCATAATGCCAAACGATAAAAAAAATAAAGTCTATATCAATTAAATAAATATAGTTGAGGGCTTATCATAGCGGTGAACGAAAAATAATTTACTAAATCTTTAATAATTCTCTACAGTATGGCTGTTTTGACAATATATTATATAAAGCATTTAAAATGTATTTCGGACCGATACATCCCTCTTCAGTTAATGTTCATAAAATTATACAAATAAAAAAATAAAAAACATAAATTTATACAAAATATAAAAAATTAAAGCGTAACATTATGTAAATAATAAAAATATACATTAAACAGCCGTGTTAAAAATGGCGTGTTCACAATTATTTTTGGTGATGTCTAACAATTGTAAGCATTCAAGAACATCATTATTTTCTTCTCTTAGACACTGAAAACAAAAGGCATTTTACTTGAACTGGCTGAACAAACAGACATCGATAAGCACCAACACAGCTCAGGAAGCTGTGTTGGTGCTTATCGATTCTGTTCGTATTCTTGAATTCCAACAGAATCATATTTTTGAAAATCTTTATATTCGATTTAGTGCTAATTTTACAGGCCAATAAATTTCGCTATATCGAACTTTAATTTTATTTAAAGGTATTTTCGAATTTTTTTAAAATTTAATTTCCTTCTTACTTCGTTGGATGTAAGATTTCTTATCCTATTTTTTTACTCACAACAGCAATTATTTTACTTATTATTTTACAATTTCTGTAAAAATATATTATTAATATATAAGTAACTTAAATATATTATTGTAAAATAACGTTTAATTTATAATAATGTCAGTGATAATTAAATTTTAAATATTTTCAAAATTTCAAATAGAAATTTGAAACTTTTAATACTTAAATTTTTTTAATATTTGACTTATAATAGTAAACTTTTCTTTAAAATATTTATAAAATAAAAAAACCTATTGATAACTTTCAAGATCTAAAACTAGTTTCCAAGGTTGAGTATAACAGAAACTTTACACGCAACTGTTTTTTCAGATGCTCATTATAAAATTTTATATTGAAAATATTATTTTATTAAACAAGCGGTATATTTATACAATCAAACAAGCTTTATTGATTTATACAATCAATAAAGAAATTTACATCAAACTCTAAAGAAATACATTAATTTTAAGCCTGTGTATTGTTGTAGTAGTATACACGTCTGAACGTTTTCCCTTTTTTACAGATTTTCTTTAAAAAAATTTATAATTAAATTTTAATTACAGAATAAAAAAACAAACTTAGTAAAATTGTTAATTTT